ATGCAGACTGTTATTTCAACATGTTGAAATAATGTTGAGCTGGAAGTCTGCTTACTCTGACTCCTGTAACCCTCATTGTACTAGGAGTAAGGGAAGTTAAGGGAAGAGTGCTCTTTCTCAAAATAACTTCTGTGTAGATAGCTGCTTTTGACTTTTGGCGCTATTTCAACTTAAGCTAGGCAATTGGCATTTCTCAAGTTGCATAGCTTATTTTGACTTTAGTTCTGCCGTGTAGACATGGCCTAAAAGATTACAACTTATTCAAACAAGATGCAGTCTTTGCTCAAGCTGGGTTTTTTTTTCATTTGTCTCCTTTCCAGCTTTTCACTGGCCAGGATGCATCACAGAGACCAAATTGCTTGGTTTCTTTATCTCCTGAGGCGAAAGAAATTGATGGAGTCTTTCGCTGTTCCTTATATCCTCAAAGGAACGTCTTTATTTTACAAGTCAGGAATGTCTCCTGGGGATTAAGTATGTTTCTTTGGGGGTACAGAAGCCATGTTAATTCTGTTTCTTGAGTTCAGGATCATGAAAGCCCCTGCTGGTTCAGGTCAATCATTTTGCTTACTGATAATATGTAAATTGACATAAAGCCACATTCCTTGTCAAGGGTAGACCTGTTTTTATCACCTTTCCCTAAGCAACGCTGCCTTGTCTTAGTCATATTTTTGCCACATTATAAGAATAGATATGCTGAATCAGACCAATAGCCCATCATCGTATCTTTTGACGGATGCTTCAGAGAGAATGAACAACAGAACAGAATAATTTGTAATCCCCTGGCATCCAGTCCCATCTTCCAGCAGTCAGAAGTTTAACACCTAATTCATCAGGTTGCATTCCTGACCATCTTGGCTTACTAGATGGACCTATGCTCCATGAATTTATCTATTTTTTTTTTTTTAATAAACTCAGTTTTTCTTTTGGCCTTCACATCCTCCGGTAAGAAATTCCATAGGTAAATTGTGCGCTTGTGTGAAGAAATACTTCCTTTTGTTAGTTATAGACTGGATACCTATTAATTTAATCAGTTGGATTGCATGAAAAGTAAATAGCACTTCCCTATTCATTTTCTCCACACCATTAATGATTTTATATACCTTTAGCATGTTCTCCCTGCTTAACTGTCTCTCTTCTAAGATTAAAATGACTTGGATGGTTAATCTCTGCTCATATGGCATTTGTTTTACAATTTAATTTCTTGCCATTCTCTGTACCTTTTCTGATTCTAATATATCTTTTTTGAGATTGGGCAAGAAGAACTGCATGTAGTATTGTAGGTGTGACTGTATCATGGATTCATACAGTGGTATTATGATGATTTCTGTCATTTTATATCTCCTTTTCTAAATGGTTCCTAACATGGTTAACTTTTTTGACTGCCGCTGCACATTGAGCAGATGTTTTCAGATAACTATGCACAGTGACTCCAAGATCATCTCCTTGAGTGGTAATAGCTAAATTAGAACCTATTTGTATGCATAATTGGGATTATTTTTTCCATTGTGCATTACTTTGCATGTATCAACACGGAATTTCATCTGCCATTTTATTGTCTAATCATCCAGTTTTCTGAGAACCCTTTTTAACTTGCAGGCAGCTTTGGACTTACTAAATTTTTCAAGATAGTAATCTTCAAACTCTGCCCCTTCATTATTAACCTCACCCTCTTTCCAGATCATTTGAGTATTTTAAACAAGCATTGATCCCAGTACAGATTCTTGGGGAACCCTACTATTTACAGTTCTCATTGAAAATTAATCATTTATTCATTCCCTTTCTTTTTCTATATTTTAACCAGTTATAGATCCTTCAGAACACCTTCCCTCTTATCCCATGACTACTTATTTTGCTTAAGAGCCTTTTGCTTGGAATTTATTAAAGGCTTTCTGAATGATCAGGTACACTGTATCCTTTGGCTCACCCTTGTCCATATGCTTGTTGACACCCTCAAAAGAATGCTATTAGACTGATGAGGTACAACTTCCCTTTCCAAAAGCCACATTAATGCTTCCCAACATATGTTCATTTATATATCTTTTTATTTTTACTATAATTTCAACCAATTTGCCAGATATTGAAGTTAGGCTTCCTGGCTTGTAATTGACAGAATTGCCCATGAAGCCTTTTTTTAAAATTGGCATGAATTTAGCTACCTTCTAGTCACTCACTACAGAGGTTGATTTAAATGATAGGTTACATGCCACAATTAGCAATTTCATATCTGAGTTCCTTCAGAACTTTTGATTGGGAACACCATCTGGTTCTGGGGACTTATTACTATTTAATTTATTGGTTTATTCTAAAACCATCTCTATTCATAAGTGAATCTGGAACATTTCTTCAGATGTCATCTGCTAAGAATGATTCAGGGGTGGGACTCTCCTTTACATTTTCTTCTGTGAAGATCAATGTTAAGAATTAATTTAACTTCTTTGCAAAGATTTTGTCTTCCTTGTGTGCTCTTTTAGTACCTTCACCCCCAATGGCCTCAGTGAGCATGTCAAGAGACATTCATAACATTTCACACATGCACTTTACAATGCATAACTAGTGTGATGTCAGCTTTCATATTTCACCTTACATGACGTATTTTGTATAGATACGATAGTAGTGTGTATGGTAGGAAATGTGCTTAGGGCACACCTCCATCATAGAGATTTGTCATGAATGCTACTTCCTCACTTCAAGAGCATCCATTCCTAGATTTTTGCAGTAATCACCCCTGTTCTTCCTATTCAACATTGATATTTAATCCCCTAGAAGCTTGTATGTACTCCTGTATATTGCTGGTACTGATGATATAACTTCACAGCAGGCAGCACCTATTAGTCAATACTGCCAGTAACACTCAAATTAGCAAAATCCAGGCAAAGAGGTGTTAATGGAAAGAGGAATGTGGTTTTAAGTATTGGTCTTAACATTTACCTTCTTCAGAGGTATCTGTCCTCTACTCACCAGTGTGGATGGACTCTTGGAAGTTCCGAAGGATCCTCATTTGCGCCAGTACTGAGAAATGCCTTTCAATACCTGTAGCCAGACACAATACCGTCCATTCTCTGCTATGTACCTGACCACAATAGTTCGCACATTTGTTACTTCCAAGCTCAACTACTACACTAAACTCTATGGAGTTTAAAGTGAAGTCCATGAATAAACGAGCAAGACAGGCTCATGAACACACTTCACCTGATGTCTTGGATGCCACACTGACTCTATTAGCAGGCTATATGTAACAGATGGAGTTTTAGTGGAGTTGGACCCCTCTAGGGCAGGCTACTTCTCTCTCTGGTGATAACATACCACAAAGTGACTGCGCTTAGAATGAAATTTGCATAGGTATCCCATTACTGCTCTTTTTCTTGGTCTGCATGCACCTATAACCACTCAGAACACTTTTTTCCAACCAGTCATTTAAAATACTGTACAAGAGCAGAATTTGACACTGGAAGACCAGGTGCCAGCTCTTGCCAAGGCCCCTTGGCTTCACTTATCACTGATGAAGGCGCAGCTGCAAATCACTCTGGCTCAACTGTGTGTTAGCAGTGATAAAATAGGTATTAGATGTATAGTCATGTGTTTGGACTTTCTGAAATGTTTGTGTAAGCTGCTGCATGAATTAATTTCCCATGTTTTATAAAGTAATTACATGTTTTGCTCCGTAATTCGAAGTCTTTGCTATGAAACTAGACCCCCCCCCCCAGTCCTCCAGTCAGCAGAGAAGTAATACTATGTGTGAAATACTAGTTTATCACAAGAAGGGTCATCTCCTGCCCTGGTCTTGTCACAGTTTGACTTGGAGAAAGGGACTAAAAACCCTTGTCAAAATTTTTTTTTCTGTATAGGCTGGACTTCAGGGACAGAGCAAGACTGCTAAGCCCTCACCTTCCTCCTGCACCCCAATCCCTGCCCAGAGTCCCAACCCAGACCCAAACTCCCTCCTGGAATCTGTAAACCCTCCCACATTCCTAAACCCTCATCCCTGGCCTAACCCAGAGCTTTAGCCCTGGAGCCTTTTCTCAATGAGGGTGGGAGAAGAAAGCAAGCAATAGAGGAGGCAAGGAATGGGTAGGATTTAGGCCTCTGAGAAGGAGCAGGATGGGGTGGATCATGAAAAAATTGTAAATCAAAATGGGGTTTCTTGGCTTGCTAAAGTTTTAGAATTGCTGTTGCAAATAAGTTTTTTTCCTAGGTTGTTAAACTTTTAGTTAGTTTATTATACATTTGGTCACAGGCCTTGTGTGGTGAGAGCTAGGGTGACTGACTGTTCCTTTGGGATTGGGAATAATCTGAATAGTGTTTGGTGTAAAGGACCATTAGCCACCAAAAAAAGTGGGGTGCCCAGAGGGACTATCTACGACTCCAAGAAAGGCTGTTATAGTGGTTGAGGAGTTCATACTTGATATTGGGGGGGTCTCATAATTTAAGTCTAGAACACACCGCCAGCTGGAGGTCTCTGCTCTGCTTCTTGGCACATTCAGTTGTGAGTAACTGTGGGCAGCTTAACACAGAGAATAGGATCTAGAACAGTGTTTCTCAAATGCAGCCACCAGGGCCCTTTCTTGGAGCTACAGTCTCCTGGGCTGGGGGAAGGGAAGGAGACAAAATAGAGGCTTTCCCTTTCTTGTTGATCCTGGATACACTGCCTTAGTTGTTGCTGGGGCCACCATCAGGGGTTAGAAACAGCTGGGGCACAATGGGGGACGAGCAGTCAATAGGTGGGTTTCTCATCTTACCAGGGGCAGTGGAGGCTCAGGCTTTGGGACTTCCACTCAGTGTTGAGAGAATGACAAGCCCTGGCCATGGGGATTGGGACTTCAATCTCGCTGCATGGTGGCAGGCCCTAGGTCCTGGCCAAAAGACTTCAGGTTGAAGTCTTCCTTTCCCCCCCCCACCCCCGCTTGCTACCTTCCCTGGGCCCCTATCCAGGGCTTAAGTTATGGCAGGGCTGACTAGGTCTACTGTGATAAGTGACACCTGTATGTTTGCTGTGACAGGAGCTTTAGGAAAACCAGACTTAGTAGCTACCAATATAGAAATGGCAATGAGCTGGCCATGTATATGTTTGTTTATTTTCCTAAAGCTAATTGTCTCCGCGAGGAAAATGGGTGCGTATTTCTTTCCTCAGCGGAGGTAGGTCCTTCGCCTTGCCAATCAGCGCAGCACCGCGGGACTGAGGGTGGGAGGAGAGTGTGATCCTTTCACCCCAGTAAGGGGCTGCTCTCGGCACAGGCCAGGTCCCAAAGCGCGTCGCTTGTCGCTGTGCTGCTGCCCCCCCTCAGCTTTTCCCGACGTGGGAGCGCTAGAGCTCAACCCCCTCAGCAGCCTCTGGCGGCCGGGTGGGGCTACGCCTCTGGCCGCCTTCTGTGCTGCAGCGAGATGAGGGGTCAGCAGCGATAGAGCCCGCTTGCCCGGCCGTGCTTTGGCGCGAGAGGATTGAGCCGCTCCCAGGCAAACCCAGCCGCCGCTCGCTTTTCCCGCTTGTAGCTCCGGGCGGGCCCCGCAGCCTGGCTCCCCTCAGCTCCGGGCTGGGCAGCACGGACGCCGCGGCGGGGGCGCTCCGCGCACACGTAGTGCCGCCGGCGGGGCTGGGAGCCTAGTGGCCGAGCCCAGCCCTGAGTGAAACCCGCGCCTCGGCTCCTGCGGGCGGGGTGCTGGCGCGGCAACCCCACGTGCGGCGCGGATCCCCCCTCCCCGGGTGGGGCTGGCGGCCCCCGCTCAGGGTCTCCCTCGGATGGCGTTAATCCGGAGCAGTAATCAGGCGCTTCCTGGAGCAGTCAGCCGGGGGCAGATAATCCCGGGCCAAGCTGTGCCGAGAGGGGATTGCCTCGCTCGGGGGCGGGATCAGCCGGCGGCCGCGGCTCAGCGAGGTCACTTCTTAGCGGGCGGGCAAGGCTCCCAGCCATGAGGGGCTGCTGGGGCGCTGCCGCTAAGCAGCTTAGATCCCGGCAGATGTTGCCAGCTCCCACCACAGGCGGAGGGAGAGCCCGAGGGGCCCGGGAAACACCTCTAGCTCGGCGGGAAGAGGAGGGGGCTTGCCCTGGTGACTGGCACCCGCCGCCTTGCACGATGAGGGGGGCGTGAAAGGTTGCACGGCGGCATCTCGCCACAGCAGGCGCGCTCCGGACCCCGGCTGAGGAGCTTGGCAGCTGGAGTGGAGGGAGTTTGTCTCTGATCGCCCCTCTCCGCCTCCTCTCACACCCTCTGCTGCTCTGCCCGGGGCAGCACTCACAGGAGCTCTAGGGGGAGATGGCGAAAATCAGAGTGTCTTACGAGTACACAGAAGCCGAAGACAAAAGCATCCGGCTCGGCTTGTTCCTGATCGTCTCCGGCATCGTGTCGCTCTTCATCCTGGGCTTCTGCTGGCTCAACCCCGCTTTGCAGGATTTGCAAGGAAAAGCTGCCAACTGCACGGTGCTCTCGGTGCAGCAGATCGGGGAGATGTTTGAATGCACTTTCACGTGCGGCGCGGATTGCAAGGGCACCTCGCTCTACCCCTGCCTCCAGATCTACGTCAACAACTCGGAGTCGAACTCCAGGGCGCTGCTGCTGCACCAGGACGAGCACCAGCTCATCGCCAACCCCAAGGTAAACTTGTGCCAGGGAGAAAAGGGCAGGGGGAGCCCCCAGAGCACGTGTGTCGTCTTGAATGCACTTTCACGTGCGGCGCGGATTGCAAGGGCACCTCGCTCTACCCCTGCCTCCAGATCTACGTCAACAACTCGGAGTCGAACTCCAGGGCGCTGCTGCTGCACCAGGACGAGCACCAGCTCATCGCCAACCCCAAGGTAAACTTGTGCCAGGGAGAAAAGGGCAGGGGGAGCCCCCAGAGCACGTGTGTCGTCGCGGAGACAGAGACGCCAGCTCGTGCTTTGGGGCTTGTCTCTGAATCCTGGGGATCGGGGCCTCCGGGGGGAGGGGGAACTCACTGATACTGGATCTAATGGCCCGAATAGCAGAAAGCTGATCAGCCCCTCGCATCCTTCTGTCCCTCTTGCTCCGGCTGCGCAGCCTGTTGCTAGCGCCCCGCGTTGCCGCCGGCTGTCAGCATCTAACCCAGACGCTCCAACTTTTGGGGCCTCTCTTCCCGCCCGCCTCCCGTGGCACGGCAAAGTTTTAGCTCCCGAGTTAACTTCTCCCATGGATAACTTCGTCACCCGCTCTCTGGCCGCTCCTCCTCCCCGCTCCGGCCTCGGACGGAGCTGCTCACGGGCTGGTTGAAAAACAGTTGGATCTAACGAGAAGAGGAGCCTGGAGTTTTCCCCTTTAATGTTAATCGTCCTCCCCGTAAAAGAGCCAATACTTGATGGGAGTTTGGAGCCGCGGAGTCCATCAGGGCTGCGGAAATCTCCCCCCTAAGCTCCGCACTTGTAGCTGAGACCCGATTTGCCGGGACGCGGCCAGAGAGAAACACCATTGACAACGGATTGCGACCTCCCCTCGGTGTCATTTACCCCCTTGCTGCTTGGAGAGAGAGGAGCGGGGGTCCTGGGAGGAGGAGCGCCCGAAACTGCCAAAGAATCGCACGTAGTCAGCTGATTTTGTGTTTCTTCGCGGTTATTTGCAGATACTGATGTTTAAATCCGAGCTTCTTCCTTCCAACCTGGCTGCTCCGTGTTGTTCCCTCTTCCCCATTCTAGGGAAACGCATGGAAAGTCACAAATCCAGCAGCAATATGACTCCACTTAGAGAGAGCTAAGTCGGAAAAGAAGTCTATCCTCCCTAAAAGTACTTCAGCCACCAGAGAAAAATGATGTGGAAGGCATGACCCGTATTCATTGCTTTTAACACGTCTGGTAGATTCCACTTTTGAAACTCCTTTAAACCAGCCAAACAAAAAACTTTCTCCGGGGATATGAGGTGTGTTTTGTGAAATATGATCCCTGTCTTTCTAGTTTACTTAAGCTAGTAAAGGAGTTGAGCACTTCCTTTAAGTTGGCACAAAGTTACTACAGTATAAGCAAGTGGAAGGAAGGGTAAAAAAAAAACCCTACAGCTATTGCAGCAAGGTAAGCATTGAATGTGTATTTATGCTATGAGAATTACTACCCCTTCGTATATTTGTCGTGCTACAAAAGCAAACACTAATCTTCATGCTTTTGATTTAGAGGTTTTTGTCTCTTAATTTGGCTCCTATTTGAAAGTTCCTGATTTAGATTAGTTGGCAGGCTATTGTAGGGTGTGATTCATAGCTATGTCTCAAAGCAGCAAGTCTCCAAAACCTTGTGCATAAAAATACCATTGTAGAGGAAGAGGGCGTGCCAGAGATTCAAGGGTGATATAGCTGCAAGCATAGATGAATGAGTAGTAGGATACACAACACTGAGCAAGGAAGTTACATTTAAAATGTAGAACATTTTAGAAGAGAAACAAAGGTGGCACATGAAGAGTTAAGGTGACAAGTACATAAAGAGAAATGAATGAAGTCTGCCTACTCCACTCCTTGAAAGTCTACATTGTCAGTTACCAAAAAAGAAAAAAAAATCACTTCAGTGCTAACAAAAGATTTTAGATCCTGGATTTAGCTATATATCAAGGGAAATGCAAGTAATCTCAACAAAAGTCTGGGAAATGTCACATCCATGAGTGTGAAATTAGGAAGCTCTGTGTGTATTCTTTCAACATTTCTCTTCATTATGTGGCTTAAATTCAGAGTTTTGTGATATGTGCAAGCTGGGATACTTTCGGCAATGAGCTTGTTTGTCTCTTTCGTCTCTTGGTGCAAACTCAAGAAGTCATGCTTGACTATTCTTATTAAGCAATAGGGAAGAGATTAGACTGAAGACATTAGACTGACCACTCCATAGAGGACATCTACTAGTGTGCTCAACAATTCTTCAAAGAAGGAAGCAACAGATTTGCAATATCTGGAAACACCATTGATGAGCCAAAGAGAAAATAATGAGGCACTCTGGAAGTCCAATCCTAGTGAGATAAATAGAAGAGAACATAAACACTGTTAAATCAAGTGTAAAAATGCAATAAGAAAAGCGAAAAAAGATTTTGAGGAACAGCTAGCCAAAAACTCAAAAAGAAATAAAATGTTTTTTAAGTACATTAGAAGCAGGAAGCCTGCTAAAAAACCTGTGGGTCCCCTAGATGATCGAGCTATAAAAGGAGCAATCAAGGATGATAAAGCCATTGCGGAGAAACTAAATGATTTCTTTGCTTCAGTCTTCACGGCTGAGGACGTTGGGGAGATTCCTGAATCTGCACCGTCCTTTGTGGGTGATGAATCTGAGGAACTGTCCTGGATTGAAGTGTCATTAGAGGAGGTTTTGGAACAAATAGAAGAATGTAATGTTAACAAATCTCCGGGACCGGATGGCATTCATCCAAGGGTTCTAAAAGAACTCAAATGGGAAATTGCTGAGCTATTATCTGTGGTTTGTAACCTATCCTTTAAATCGGCTTCCGTACCTAATGACTGGAAGGTAGCCAACGTGACACC